TTCGTGAAAACTCGGGAAGGATCAGATATTTTCAATATGAACAAAGAAGAACACAGCTCGGCGGGCGATCCGAAACTACGTTCAATGTAACAACCTGTGATCGAAAGTACGGCCGTGACGATACAAATATGAAATTGAGCCTCGACCCGATATTTGCTGTTTCTTGCCTCCGAGCCCGTTCGGTGATATTCTTGTACAGCACGTCTGACCGTTGACCTCGCACCCCTACAATGTTGGGACGGAGCACGCCGGGTTCCCACCGGACCAGGCTCCCACATCACCAAGCGCAAAGCGCCGTGAGGTATTGGCGAGTCGCAAGGGGGTGCGCTGCATCCTGCTCTGGGTGTTTGGCATCTTGCGCTTTCACTTCCAGAGACAGCAATAAGCACCACTGTTGAGCAACCCCCTCGAGGGTGCTCGACCATATTAACACAAGGTGGTGCTACGAAGAGTGAGCGTTCTCGACCCCGCACAACAGAATCTACTCGACCACTAGACTAGACCACTGCTGAAACAATATGTTACCGCAAAAAGTACCAAAGTTGTGCACCACGCGATAGCTCAGCTAGGTTTCGGAGGTGGCTACGGACGATAGTGCGCCCCTCACACAACCATCGAGTAAATGCTCGAAAGAACGTACACCTGGTTTAGTACAAAGGGGGTCACCGCGTTGGGGCTGGCCTGGAACCATCCGAGTCCGTCGATGCTGCAGTTTCGAAATCCATTGATCGGCATGCAACGGTTCAGGTACCGTCTCCCGCACTTCCGAGTACCCAATACCTAATGTGGCGCAAGCTGATGTCGACTCATGCGCCCGTGGGTTCCCGCCACCGTTCCACTCCCACCACAGGTTCCCCCGCGAATACCGCCATGGCGGAACCGTGTGCCGCCATGTAGTCCACCAGTCCTTGCGCTCGGGAAAAATATATTATCAGTATCTACAGAAGGCCACGCCGTCATCTTCGCGGCCACCGGTAGCCACGCCGTCCTTCCCGCGACCGATGTTGCCATGAGTGACGTTGATTCAATTCCTGATCGCCGCTTATGCCTGACATTTTAAAATGCTACCTCAACCCGGCAGCCTGGACCAGAAGTTTGGCCACTGACCGCCGTCGGATGCCTGACCAACAGCACGTGCTTCTCGAAAGCGTTGGGCACACCCAACAACAACGGGGGATCGCCCGTCGACCTCACAATGGAGGAGGTGAAACAACAGCGGGTGCGCGAGGCAGCTTCGAAGTTGGATGCCGACAATGTCGAAGAACTCCGTCCGCAGAAGGAACTCCTGCAAACCAAGTAGCAGGCCCACAGAGTGGCCATCAGGAAAGCTGAATCCGGGAGAAAGGTACAGCAGCATCCGACGAGGCCAAGCTTTCCTTGGAACACCGCCGCAGGAATAACACGCTACAGGATTGGTTCCTACCGCTCGCCCACTCGCAAGAAATTGGTTTTGAGCACGCGCTCGACGGTCCTCCGGGATTCGGTCCGCAGCATCACCACCTCCTGCCGGCTCTAATGAGTGTGGCTCCAAGCCCACGCTCGCCGGCCCTTCAAGATCAGGTTTGAAGCCCGCTCGCACTCCTCCTTCGGGATACGGCCCGCTGAGCCACCAGCTCACCGACTCGAACGAGTTCCGTTTCCAGCAACAGCTCGCTAACCCCGCGGGGTCATCACCTCGCTCACCGGCTCACACGAGCTTGGTTCGGAGCTACAGCACACCGATCCCTCGGGATCCATGGCGCAGACGCAACGGCGCGGCCTGATGCTGAAGGCACCCGTCAACCTGACAGGGAAAGGGTATGCGTTCGAGAAGCCGCCCTTAAGCCAAACGGCATGCGGCCCGACGGATCTTATCTTCTGACACGGCGTCGAGTTTTTCATCGACGTGTCGATCACGAAGTTTGCATCGTTCGTGAGTCAACTCCTCTTTCAAAAAGCTTTAAAGGTCGATCATCATAGCAGCGGCATCTCTGGCAGCGCAGCTGGGTCAAGAGGGTAATGAACCCATTATGCCACGAAACCTTCCTTGTGCATGTTCAGCGCTCCCCGAATCCGACCCTGTTGGAGTTCTTTCACAAGCTCCTATTTCAGCCGGAGGACGGTATGCGCCAACAACCTCCAAGGTGGTTTTCGCCCTGACCAGGTCACCTGGTACATCCCGTCAACGCTGTCGCCTTTTGGCGCATCTAGTCGCACGGCCACTCCCATGGTGGTTTCCAGACTGTGACAAGGCATATTCACAAGGAGTTCGAGACCGATAGCAACGGCAGCTCCCACAACCAGAGAGGCCGTGGACGCGGTTCTTGCCGCCACCTACGCCGACAGGGTCACCAGCAGCAAGGCAGAATATTCAATCGAGAGAACTCCTAACACACCTGAGGGCGCGGTCATCGCGGTTCGCAGTCCTCCGCAACCAAGGACAGAGACGCAGCCGCATCCACCACGAGCAGCAGCCGTAGGTCACGGACTCGCGGCAAGAAGAGATCCAGCTTCACGGGCCAGAAACCCTCCCACGGTGCGTCGCGCGGAGCGTCAGCATGCTCGACATGAAACAGTACAAAGGTTTACGCGTCACGCGACCACAGCCACAGCCCTGGAAGAAGACCCCGCAAGTACGATTCGGATGCTCTGTCTCCACCTGACGGCTCCTAGCGAGAGCTCTACAGACTATTGACCCGCGCTGGTTGCGCTGTAGGAAGAGTCGAGGAACCGGGGTATTCCCCTTTCTGGTGCTGGTATTCGCATGTACCCGCTTCCTCCGGTCGACGTCCGGTGTGATCCACCCACATTTGATCCGACGAAGGAATATTGTACGCCTGATACCGTGTTTTTCTGGCAAGCCCCGTCGGCTTTCGCGCAATGGACGCCTGCCATATTTGTCGCGGATGGTGTTGAAAACTCTTGCGGTGAACAGTTCTTCGCGGCTGCCAAAGCTCGTCGTTTTGACGAACGAGAATGCGTTGCAACGTGATTTGCGTGTGTCCGACCCAGTCGAAAAATAGGGTTTGAGTCGCGACGAGAATGGAAGCAGTTTGGGAGCGCGAGCGGTAAGTGTGGTCTCCTTTCACTATTTGTCGCAAGCTTCCGCAAGGTGGCAACATCTTTTCGGCACCGGCGACAAAGCCTGCAAACACGATGCACCTTCACATTCTCTTGGGACGCGATATTTTCATGCGGTTCAGCACTCGCACGTGCCGTACACTGCCCTCGAGGCCGTCGGGCAATCGCGAATTCTTGTGAATATTCCCTCGCCCGTCAGGAAGTTTCTGTCCATTCGCGCATGTGGCCGATTTCTAAGCCCCGGCGGACCAGTTCCATCTCCAATAGGCGGGGCCGACGGGTACATTACTCCCAGACAACCACTAACTGGTTCAAGTCAACTTAGTGCGTTCCAACGGCACACCGGCTCTGACCGGTCAATACCTTGCCGATGTATTTACCTGATGTTTCGTCTAACGAAGAAATGCTTGTCTCCTACAGACATCAGTGTGAGCCGCTCGCGAGTGCCGTAGAACTGGAGCCAGGCGACCTGCTTGGCACCTCTTGCCACCCCCCTGATGCGTGTGCATGTACAGCATTTAGAACAGCATTTCAGCGACGAAGCCGATAGAGTAGGGGTCCCGGCATGATGCCGGTGCGATCGAGCCGATTTCACGGACATACGCAACCGGGATCATTCGACCGGCATTATACCAGGACCACTACTAGTTCCGTGCCTGGACCTATTTTGGGCTCTACCGACGTTGGTGCGGACAAGACCGTCGATCCGCGGATGACTTGTAACAATCCTTTGGTGAACGATCTCAGGACCCACGGTACACCTGTGCCGGCCCCTGGGTAAACAGTCCGAGCCGATCCCGCCTCCGCCAACAACGCGCCCTCGCCGCAACCACAGCATGCGATAGAGCGGTTTGAGCGCTGAAGCAAGACTTAGCTGTGAGTCCTTGTGAAATCGCTTGCCGTCACACCGGAAGACGGTCAAGTTTGATCTACACGGTCCTGGGGTTATCCCAGAGGTTATCACAGAACGTACAGTCGCGATCTTTTTCATGACTTTCCAGACGTTATCCATATCCTCTACGGATTTGAGGTCATGTTCCATGATGCCGTTCGAGATCAAGGTACCTCCGGGTTGTCCCCCAGTTGCGTCAATACCGTACCATATGAACCCTTTGGTCGAGAAGAAAGTGGATGCCTTTTTCTTCGAGTACTACGAGCTAGCGCGTGAACGACACACACGTTGCCCGTATGGAACGATGGAACTCGAAACTGTCTGCAACCTTGCGCAAACTAACCGTTTACGCTACGGGCGGCTGGGTATGGGTGTTCACTTCTGCGGCTACCATCCGCCGGGGTTCCAAAATAACTTCTAAGGCCCGCACAGATACTGTATCCCAGGTACTCTTATCCAAATTTGAACAGGCTCCCGATGGCCGCACGAAAGCTGACAACCTCCTGTGCTTGGATCTTTCCTCCGACATGCCCGGAGTGGATACCAAGGGACAAGTTTCAGTTGCTCGTTGCAACCGTGCGCGAACCCGCACGATGGTGACGACACGCCTCGTTTTTTTCCTCGCTGCCTCACGCAGTACGAACTCAACAACTACTATTACACGTCGAAGACGACACTGCGGATCGTGTTTCAGAGCCTGTCCATAGGCCAGATGAAGGTTAGGAAAATCACATGGACACCCGTGGGTTCGAGGACTTGGTAGTGTGATCGCCGTTGTATACGAGACCCACTGGAAAGGCCTTATGCGCACCTCGTGGGAACGTCAAACGGACCTCCCACACTTCCGCAAGCGTGTGCTTCTGTGTTGGGCTGGGAGCCTCGACCAACACAGGCGGACCAACCGTCTGTATCGGCACATGCACATCAGCGCGGTGGAACATGAACTGTCTCACATCAATGGCGAGCGGTCCTCGTCGTCTAGGGACGAATATGTTCCCCGCGACGTTTGGGTCGGCCGTTTTGGCAACGCCGTGCTGCTTGCACGTGTTGGGACAAAGCTCAAGACGCATATACTTGTATGGTGGCTAGGTAAAATCTCCGGGCATCGTCCAACTTTTCAACATGCCTTCATCGTTTGCTTCCTGGACGACCCTTTAGACCTGTCAAGATCGCCCTCTCCCCTTCGCGCTACGCCACAGCTTTGGGAGCTGTGTGTGGACTCGGCGCCTTCAGCTGCGCCGTAGTAGTGCCTTCCTTAATGGAGAAAACAAAAAACCTACTCAGCGTCGGATCATACGAGCAGGATGTCCTACATGGGAGTGGCTCTGTACCCTTTAGCCGTGCAGTCCGCCACTTGACCGGACATTGCATCAATCTCTTGGTCTATTTCCATGCCCCCTTCCCAGCCAACTCCAAACCCCGCCAACTCCAAGCCACGCCAACTCCAACCTGTGTACCCAACACGTCCGTGTACTCGTACGGCCTCAGGCCAAAGGCCCTCTACTATAGATCTTCCTCAATCCCGTCGGGATGCCAGCCGTTCTGCCCCAAACCTAGGAATAGAGCGAATCATCGTTAGATTTCAGCCTGGACTCGGCTGCTGTGAAACGATCGTTGAAGGACGGTCATCCTCAGCCATCGGGCATACCCGCGCCCGAACATGTAAAATAAAATATCCGTCTTGAACGAGAGGTTTTCGAGCCAAAAGCATCAGCGCATACCGAACTTGATGAACGTTAACATCAAGACTGGCTTCCAAAGACTGATCGATCTCCCTCGAACCAACCTGCTTGCATGCTTGCTTGCCGTACCCCAAAAAAGCCTAAGCCGTCCGGACGGGTGCCTAAGCTTTGATGGCCCAGCCACCGTCCATCGAGTAGGTGGAGCCGGTGACCATGGCGGCGTCTTCCGAAGCCAAGAATATCACCACGTTCGCAATCTGTGAGATCGTGGACAACAGATTCAACAGTCAGTGATTATATGCCCTTCAGAACATATCACGAAAACTACCGCAGGCACGTTTCTAGGTGCTCACAGTTTTTGCGACAGGTGCTGACGGCGCTTCAACCATGCCCGGTGAACCTAGAGTCGGTGGATTTGAACTATTTATCGACAGGAGGCGGCACGGCAGAAGCAAAGAGTCCGTCGTTCCTTCGGCAGGGGGTGTCAACCGTTCGCTTCGGTTCAGAAATCCACACCTGTCCGCTTACGCAACGCTAGTCATACATCTGGCTGAATGTTTGAGGTTCAAAAGCGGCCTCGCGTTGAAGTCTGAACAAGTCACTACATTAATATCAGCAGGCTCACACAACGCCAAACCCCATTGCCCGCCCTTCCGAAGCGGATGGGCCTCGCAATGAAACAAGTCTCTGCGTTTCCGCTGTACCGCCTTACTCACTCCGGCACCCACCCGCAAGCCTACCCCGAGTTGGTGCATAAGGGGCAACGTGCCACTTGGCGATTCATGGCAACAGCGACTTCGTTAGCACCTCTTCCCAAGAAACACGGACGGAGCACATAGGGTTTGTGTTAGGGTTTAGGGTTCAGCTTAGTCGGGCTCCCGTGTCGCAGTAGGCGGAGTGGGGCATGTCGATGCCTTCGTCTACCCCACAAGTACAACAACCCCAAACCCTGTTGCTGGGGCACCACCCTTTCGATGCCAAGTCTACCGTACGCTAGATTCACTCCTGTTTAAACTTCTGTTAACGCGGAATAACAATGATACAAAGCAGGGGTTTGTGGTATCTCACGAATGAAACCTGCGGCACGTGTCTCACCTCCTCGGGCTTGATGGGCCTCGCGATGAGTTGCGAGGTTTCGGTGATGGCAACCAGAGTCTCGCGGGGCATCTCACCGTAGATGGGCGTCTCGACATGTCCGGGCGAAACGGAGTTCACCCGCACGCCCGACGCCGCGCCCTGCGGAGAAACAAACGAGCAGGGACGTCCACAGGGGGGGGAGGGGGGGGATGCGTAAACGTT